GTAGGAATGGTTTCTATTACAAGGAGGGAGCTGGTAGCACTCCCGGCTCCCTCCTTGTTTTTTCTTTTTTTACACATGCACAGTGATTTTTGTCCTAATGAACGAAAATAATTATTTTTAAACAAATTTCATTCGCAAATGAATGGTTTGCAGGCGAAATTCAGGATTGACGAATGAAATGTTTATTTAGTACGAAATCATTCATATGAAACGAAAATTTAACTGGTGCACATGTTAACTTTGTATGAATTTTTATGAGTGTTATAATATCCTGCCAGTAAGGTTGGATTTTTAAACAGCTCCACCAGGTGTTTAGGAATGTACATGTCTCACTGTGATACTGCCAGCAGGTATTCGATTTGAATGGGCATATAGTTGCTATATGGGTTGGAACCATGCACCAATGGCAAAATAACTTGCACGATAATTTCATATGGGATGTGCATGAGGTCAGTCCCCTATATGTGTTAGCAGAAGTTAGCCAGGTGGACTCTGGCAGATGACGTCCTAAATCTTTTTCCCAGGCTTACACATAGTGTAGGGTTCATATTCCATACTCTCAAGTTAAAATCATGGATCAAGGAGGACAGGGCTGTCAAAGGTGTAGCTAAAGAGATAGGGTGTCAGCTGCACAAAAGTTTTCAGGAGATATCCCATATCACTAACATAGTTGTCATGGTAGGAAGTGCTTGTGGTAAGGTTGGTCTCTGATGGGAAAGTAGCCATATTCAGTTGTTTATGTCCCATGTTTGTGTCCAATGTTATTTGATATAGACCCATTGTGGTGGGTTAGTACTTTGGTTGGCTGACACAAGACTATTGAGAATACCTACTTTATAATAGAGTTGTACATTAGGGAGGCTCATTCCACCTTTGTGGACATGCTTATAGAGTGTTGAAAGCGCAACCCTAGGATTTTTTTACCATCCCAGATGAACAGGTTAATTTGCTTCTGAAAAGATTTAAAGAATGCAGTCAGAATAATCAGTTGGACTGTTCGGAACAAGTATTGTAGCTTTGGCAAGATTATCATCTTGACTGCAGCTATACGTCCCGATCAAGAGATGAATTTGTTTCTCCACTTTTGTACGTTGGTAGTTATTTTCTTGCTCAGTTTTATTTCATTTTAGTCATACAGCTTAGACAGGGTACAAGGAACTTTGATGCCTAAAAATCTTAGAGATAGTCAGATCTCTAATCATAGGAATATGAGGTAGCTATCTTCTATCCTCACCCCATGGCTTGGATCTTTGTGAGATTCAACTTACAGTAGGAGCAGTGGCTATAGGACTGTAGTATGGAATGGAGGGAAGTATGTGGGTTTTTGCTGGTCAGGAGGATATCATCCGCAAAAAGGTACATTTTTAGTTCATTATCATTTATGTAGACACCATGGACATCAATGGCAGAGCGAATCGAGGCAGCGAATGGTTCTAATGCCATGATGTACAACAGGGGGCACCCCTGACTTGTCTTGTTTGTTATTCTAAAGGGATCAGAATGGAATCCTGAGTTGAATACCCTGGCTGTGGGGTTACTTTAAATTGTTTTAGTCATGGATATGAAGTGGGTTGGAAAATAAAATTTCAAAACTGCAGGAATGCAGATGGTCAAAAGCCTTTTCGGCATCTAAAGAGAGCATCAAGCTGTTTGGGGAGTTTCTGTGCTACTGTGTGTGGTGAAAGTAACCTCGCCACTTGATGCTCTCTTTAGATGCCGAAAAGGCTTTTGACCATCTGCATTCCTGCAGTTTTGAAATTTTATTTTCCAACCCACTTCATATCCATGACTAAAACAATTTACAGTAACCCCACAGCCAGGGTATTCAACTCAGGATTCCATTCTGATCCCTTTAGAATAACAAACAAGACAAGTCAGGGGTGCCCCCTGTTGTACATCATGGCATTAGAACCATTCGCAGCCTCTTGCCATGTGACTATGGCCCTTGGGGTGTGTGAAGAAAACCCCTGTTTTATGGACTTACTTAGTTCGACTGTTTTAACCCCCACCCCCCAGAACACCAGTTAAACCCTTAATACCTTGTTACATTCAAACACTGTCTGACCCAATAACTGTCATATTTTCAACCTCTGTCTGACCCTTTTAACTGTCATTTTGTTTTCCTCAGAGCAGGAGTGATTTTACTGCATGAATACTGTTGCTTTGTGTGCCATTAAACAGACCCAGCATTACGCCTCGGCTCATGTGTGAGGGGTTATGATATGCTTGTGTCTACACTCTGCCTGGAAGGATTATTCGCTAACTACTGGGAGAAAAGGAACCCAAGACGGTCAGAGAGGGTTGGACCGTCACACTGTGTAAAAGTGCAAGGGCCTTATGTGTCCCATCTGCTCCTTGTTTGCCACTGACAAAATCCACTTGATCAAAGTGGATGAATGTAGGTAGAATAGTAGTAAGCCTGTTAGCATAAACTTTGGCCAATATTTTGACATCTGAATTTAGTAAGGATATGGGTCTGAAATTTGCACATTTGGTTGGGGATTTTTACCTGATTTGGGTTATGTGGCTACCTCTAACTAAGTAAGGTTTCTAATGATGTTGCAGTTGTGGGGGGATGATGTAGGCACACCTTTGATAGTACACATTCAGGAGACCATCTGAACCAGCGATTTGTTTGATGGCAAAGCAGATATTACTTTATCTATGTCCTCTATGGGTTATTGGTTTGGCCAGTTGTGTTTTCTGGGCCGAAGTTAAGAAGGGTAGGTCTATTTTAGATAGAAAGACCGAGATCTCATCACCTGTAAGTTGGTGATCTTGAGGGTCATCTTTGAAATTATAAAGCTTGCTATAGAACTCTGTGAATGTGTTACTTATGCCTTGAGGTTTCATAATTTAACGTCAACCTATAAGTCAACATTATTGGGACATGATGTGACCAGATAATTGTCCCCTATGGTACAGGAGGTAAATTGCTTTAAAGAGGACCCTAGTAAAAGAATGACGTCTATTCTTGAGTATGTCCTATTGGGTATGTAAGTAGCATTAATAGCATCTATGTGAGTAGCATGAATAGCAGTCATAAGTTAAATTGGAGCAATAAGTTTGTTAATTCTTTTTTATTGGGACTTGAGTGACCTGTAACTATGGGAATGTTTCGGCGTGAATATATCTAAGCTAGGGTCCAGAACATGGTTTAAATCACTGTTGCGGACCCAAGGTAACCCGACTGGTTACCTCTGCTAATTCCCTTCCTTCAACTGGTCCGGAACCACTTATATGGTAAAGAGACCCATTTCCCCCTCAGTAACTGGAGAAGACCTAGTCCTGGATGTACAACACAATTTTATTGGCCACACAGGGCTTTTATGCATACCCCGTGCAAGGGGTGGACCACACACACATACAAAGACACATCCCACATTCTAGGCTCCATTTGTGAGGGACTGAGGCGAGGAAAGCATCTCCTTTCAGGGTACGAATGCTCCCCCTGGATGGCGTTTGTCTGTTTGAATGGTGGGCACCCATTGGAGCATTGCGTAATAATTACTTCCCTTGCTGTTTCACACCTATGTTGCTGGTGCGAGCATTCTGATTTAGTGTGAATGTTCTAATGGGGCACCGAGGAGTCCCTCTTTTGGGATACAAATGAGTCAGGAAACAATCCACAAATGCTCCCCCTGGTGGAGTTCGCCTGTCTGAATGGCACCCACCCAGGGAAGCACTCATTAATTGTGTCCCTTGCGGTTTGCGGTTTTGACACTTATGTTGCGAGGTGATTGGGAGGTGTGAACATTCTATACTAATATTCTAAATGAGGTATTGGGGTGGTCCCTGTTCAGGAGGTGAATGAATTCCCTTCATGGAAGCACTACCGAACAGGGAATGGGCACAATAAATGAAATACAGAGAAAACACACATATTACAAGCGGGAACAAAACGAACCGGCAGCGGTTCCGCCACAATCACCACAAGTGGTGGAGGTTAACACAGTAAAGGAGTTTAAGCATGTGTGGGATAGGCATAAGGCTATCCTAACTATAAGATAAGGCTAGGGACTAATGAAAGTATTTAGAAAATTGGGCAGACTAGATGGGCCGAATGGTTCTTATCTGCCGTCACATTCTATGTTTCTATGTTTCTAACTGATAGTTGTCCAGCATTGGCAGCTGGTTAAGCTGCCACAATGTGCAAAAAAAATTACCAACATGTACATAACATTGTTCATAAAACACATAAGCAGAGTGAAACCATATAGGGAAGTGTTTCATGCCAAATTGAGGGATCTTAGCTTTAGGGAAATGAGTCTCCTGAAAACGTAAAACATCAGTTGCACGTTTCCATGCTTCATTTATCTTCCTTACCATGTGCTTTTTATGGGGCATATTAAGCCTGTGCGCATTATGAGAATGGATTTTCAGTGTGGTAGCATAGTATTTACCGTCTGAGTGATTCATCTAAAAGGTAGACCATAGTGCTGGGACCACAGATTTGTAAGTTTTAAGTTTTATACTGGTAGTACAAAGGGTATACAGAAATTGTGGCTTTAGTGGCCTGGATGTGTTAATGATTTGTCCCTTGGGGATATGGCTGGGATTTACGTGAGGAAATAAGGAAAGAATAGGTCGGCACCAAAACATAAGGAGAATCATAAAATAAAGTATATACAATGGAACCCAAGTACAGTACAAAGAATTTGTACCCTGAGGAGCATTGGGGATATCGGAGGTGATGTCAATACAGGTGGCCTGAGCTGGCTTTTTTCAGTATGGTGCCAGTTAAAAAATAAAAATAAAAAATAAAAATTATATATATATATATATCATTATATTGTTCACGAAACCAACGTGTGATAAAATACTAGAAATATAAACATAATGCACCCTGATATCCTAAGGTGACATTCCCTGGGCACAACAAACATAAAAGGAATAATGCTCACATAAAACATAAGCAAAGTGTTCTAAACACTCACTAAGTGAATTTTCAGCTTAACTTTTAACCTTCAAATAAAGCTGTACAATTGCAGAATGTTCACTTGGAATCTTGGGCAGGGGACCATTCCTTGTCCAGTTGTTTTGGTGACTGCAGGTGCGGTGCTCCATCTGACAATTTCAGGTTCCATTGTTGTAAGAACCGGAAACTATCCTCCATGATCTGAACAACAGATGTTGTCCCATTCCTCGAGATTATCAGGTGAGTTGGGAAGCCCCAGTGATATATTATATGTTGCTTCTGTAGGGTCTCCATGATGTGTTGCTACGTTTTCCGCTGTCGCAGTGTGACTTCTGAAAGATCAGAGAATATCTGAATTCCAGTAAATTCGGCTGGGAGGTCTTTTACCATTCGGCTCCTTCGTAAATGAGCTCTTTAACGTGGAAGGAGTGTGTCTTCAATAATACATCTCTCGGCAGGGAGACAGAAATATAGTCTCCACGTGTACCGTGAGGGTACCCAGATCTTTTAAGTCCCTTTTGATTTCGGCCACACTTGTTTACCAGATAGCTATAAAATTGTTGGATTGTTGCTCCAATGCCTTCTGTAGGAAGGAGGTCATGAGGGATTCTGCCTCAGAAGACACTTTCAGATCTGAATGAGGACTTCTGGTTGGGGGTCGGTGTCATCTTGAAGGCCTAACTCTGTGGTCCATGAAGATGTGGTTCGTTTTTAAATAGCTGCACATTTTTTTCTGGCTTGTGAGGGTAACTCATTTTATAGCTACACTGGTTTTTGCATTGTCCTAGAGCACTTCTTTAAATTTAGTTTACTCTATAGTTATGTATATAAACAAACCTGTTGTAGGATTATTGCAGATGATGCACATTCTATATAGAGTGTTACAAGAATTAAACAAAAGGCTGATGGCTAGCCTAGCTTACTGAGGAGTGGTCCATAGTGGCAAAACAGAAGTTCTCAGAGTATCCACCTCTTGGTGTGCCTCTTTTCACTTTTAAACTATGAACATGTTTGTAGCGGAGATGCAATATTACCCAGGTTATCTCCGTTTATAATCCAAGTGAGACTCAGGAACAAGTAAAATAGTAAATCCAAAGGCAGGGTTTCCAGCAGGTAAAATACAGCAATATCCCAACAGCAATCCCAATAACTGGACGACACACAGTTTCAGGAGCATAACTGACTAGCCTTTAATCACAGTCTCCTTATAAAGCATGCTCCCATGCAAGGGAGGGATTTACAGTAATTATTACAGTAGCCAATCCTGTCCTGGTAACCTCCCACACATCCCCTCCCCTCAGCCAGCATCATAATCCCCTTATCCAGCACACCAATTCCCCCCGTTTCTGGATGTACCCCTAAACGTAGGCGTACCCCTTTAAATCATACATCCCCGGGTAGTCCTGATCTGGGTGAACAACATATCCAAAAATCACCCAGATCGGACCAGGGGTTCGGGAAAAGTATGGAGGGAATAAAATGACCGACCGCACTAACTGAGATAGCCGCATTCGGTTCCATGTGAATGGGCCTTGCGGTCGGTCCTGGCATAAGGGAATAAAATACACGAAAGCCTCCAGCTATAGAGGCTAGGGAGGGTTCGCCTGAATCCCCTCGTTCGGTATTCTCTATTTACCGAACGAGGGGCCGTTCGGTTGTTTGGAACCGAACGGACCAGGGCTGTGGAGGTCTCAGCGGTGTTCGCCTACTCGAGTGTCCGATTTTAGTTCCAGACACTCGACGGCAAAACACCGCTGTTCGGGAGTTTTAAAATGACCCCCGAGAACAAAGGACGGCTACTTACTGTTCAATTACCCGTTCGCAACAATGTTGCAACGGGTAATTGAGGACACACTTCACACAGGGAGGTCTGGTTGTTCGGTAGTTTCATTCGAATAAACTAAGGGAATGAAACTACCGAACAATCCGAGGAATACAATTCTTTTTAAATACACAGAAATTACAGCAGATACACGGATGCAGCTTTATACAGTATTTTTGTAGGGTCGCCTGGTGCCATCCGCTACACTGCTCCCCCTTGCCCACAAGCCGGCATACACAGTCTGATCCAACACGGATCGGCTTGGGGATGTCCGGGGAGGCTCACGGATCATTTCTCTAGGTCAGTTTGTCGAGACAACCCATCAGCATTTCCATTCTGTTTACCCGGGCGGTGCTGGATATTAAAGTCAAAGGGCTGCAGCGCCAGACTCCAGCGCAGCAGCCGGGCATTGTCCCCAGCCACCCGGTTTAGCCATACTAACGGGTTGTGATCCGTGAGCAGGGAAAAAGCTTGTCCGTACAAATATGGCTGTAATTTCTTCAGTGCCCACACCACAGCCAGGCATTCTTTCTCGATGGCGGCGTAGCTTACTTCTCGAGGTAACAGTTTCCGGCTGATGTAAGCCACGGGATGTTCTCCGCCATCGGCCCGACTTGGCTTAATACTGCTCCCAATCCAAACATAGAAGCGTCTGTGTGGACAAGAAAACGTTTAGTTGGATTGGGAGCTGCCAAGACAGGGGCATTTGTCAATGCATCTTTTAACAACTGAAATGCCTGTTCACACTCCGGGGTCCAGGTTACTTGGCGGGGTAGGTTTTTACGGGTCAAGTCGGTGAGAGGTTTAGCCAGGGCACTGTAATTCGGGACAAATTTCCGGTAGTATCCGGCCGTTCCTAAGAACGCTAACACCTGGGTCTTAGTCCTAGGGGTGGGCCATTGAGCTACAGCCTCTACTTTGGCTGGTTCCGGCTTTTGCTTGCCGCATCCTACCCGATGACCTAGGTACTGTACTTCAGCCATACCTATGCTGCATTTGGCTGGTTTCAGCGTTAAACCA